AGAGGGGACTAAGGATTAGTCGGGTCTGTACCATACTATAAGTTGTTTCGTTTATAGTGGATTATTGACTGGCAAAATACCCGAATATTTTAATTATTTTTGAAGGGTTTTTTCCATGATCATATTAGATTATTTGCTTTATGCAATTTACAAACCGTGGTATTCAAACATATGATAAATTGACTTGTTTGATCTAATCATTCAACAACAATTATAAAGTGATTTGTTACTTTTAATTGTGTAATTCCATACGTTAGATCTAAATATTTGGTAAATTTAAACTTTCTTCATCATTCTTAATAAAATCAAATAATGTCATTTAATTATATTATGGTGTTCATTTTTTTCTCATTTTGTTATGTCTATATTTGTAGGGTCGTTTATTTATTTATTTATTTATAATTTTATTTATAATTTTTTCTGAGTACTTTTATTAATATTGGGGAATCAAAAACGAATTTTGACAATTTGGGACAGAATGACATGTGAGCATCAAAATCAAAAGGTCAAATTTTAATTTCAATTAGCACAATACAAAAACGCAAAATAAAAACTAGAATCATCATATATTTCAAGACCAAAATGCATAAAGTAAATTTAACAATTTATGTTATTCGATGATAAAACATGCTTGCATGCTTTTAACCAAATCCTAAATTGTAAAATTTACTTGAAAATCTCAAAATGAGGTTGAATTACTTGCATTTTGATTGTTTGCTTTCCACGCGTCTTCTATGCACTCTTTGGTCAAAAACTCGATCACAATGGAAGGAATTTGATTGTCACAATCCAAGAACCCAATTTGAGATATTATATTTCCATAAATCTCATCTACTTTTTTACCCTTGAAGGAACCCGAATTTTTGCACACATTTTTCTTTTATCGTATAATGGAAGTTATATGTCTGGTTGAGGGTGATGGAAGGTTAAATTTTAAACTCAAAATTTAACTCCTCTCTCACAAAAAAAAAAAAAAATCATCCTATACAAATCGGGTCAGATCAGACAGGAAAATTCATATGGGCGATCCGTTTTCGTTTTCTTCTAACAGATGAAGTTACTTCTTGAAGTCCTTTTGTTTTTTATAATGAATATATATCACCAGTAAATGCTTTAAACGTTCTTAGATGTTGTGATGTTGCAAGAGTAGTGATAATTGTAGTAGACAGGTGGTTCTCATGTTGTAACAGTAGGATTTAATCTTCAGGTGCTTTTAATAACATCCAACAATTTTATGTAGCACCTTGAATAATATTTTTTTTAGTCTCGACCGGATAAATATTTTAATATTTGACGAGTGTCATGCAAGTGGCAATCACGCAAAACTTGTGACACTCAACAAATATTAAAACTTTTATCTAGTCAAGACTCAAAAATTTATGACTCGAGATGCTACACAAAGTCATTGAAATCATTACAAGCACCTAAACATGGAATCCTACTATTACAACATGAGAAACATATATTAATGATTATGAAAAAGACAACATTTACTGTTTATCGCAACTTCATCCAATAACCAAGATTGTTGAATTTATTTTTAATTATTTTGATCCTTACATATATGATGATGATGGGTAATTTCACTCGTTCGAAAAATTTCTCGCTGTACAAGTGCCAGGAAGACACTTGTCTCCGTGACATTGGCCAGGACACAACAACTTTTTTTTTGTCCTGACCAAATCCTATGTACATGTAGAACATTCATATGATGATACACTACAAATCATTAGATGAAGTAAAGCAAGAGAAAGGGATATAATTTTTTTTAAAACTGTCCAATTTTTCTTTATATAAACCCCACTTCACCTCATTTTTTTCACAAATTTTTAATAATCTCCATTTTAGCTCCTTTGTTGTGCAATCAGAGTTATCTATCTCCAATTTTAGTATAAGTTATAGGTTTGATATCAACCAATTCTACCTCTACACATGAATTCATATTGGACTTTTTAGACTGATTATTGGCCTGATTAAAGTGGTTGCATTCATGGGCTCACAAAAAATTTAAAATCATTCTTCTAGTCCCCTTTTTCAAATAATCTCTTTCAATACCATGACTTGTACAATTGTAAGCCATTACATTGAAAGAGATTTTTGAAAGAGAAGACTCTAGGAAATGATAAGGGTGTTAAGCAGGACAAGTCGAACACATGCCCATTGACCTTAGCACACAAGCTCGTCCTTTGGTGAAGCGAGTGAGCCCTCTCATGGCCTCTGGACCCACCTTAATTTTTAAGCCAAAAAGTTTAAAATGTGACTTGTTTGTGAGGATGAGGTGAGCTACTCACATGCGAACGAGCGAGCTCACGAGCCAACTCATGCAAGTCGGCAACCAACTTGTACGAGGGATTCACATTTCGACTCTCTAGTAGGACTAGTCGAGTCGGCAAGCGACCCGCCCACTTTAATGTCCATAGACAGTGTAAGTAATAGTTTTAGAATTTTCGAGAAGCCACGAATCCAATCAATTTTTTCAAGTCAATAATCAGGCTAAAAAATCGTTTTGGATTCGTATCTAGAGGTAAATTGGTTAAAAGATGCCAGTTATGTGGCTCTTTGAACTTTGTGAAAATATATTCCATGAATTGCATCTTGCATCGAGAGTTTAATGAATTTAAATAATTTGAAAGATGTAAAGCTATGTATCTAAGATAAATGGACAAATTATTAGTTAAAGATTTTCAAGATCTGACTTCATAATTTATAAGCATTGTTTATGTTAATTTTTTAGACTTTTAAGAAAAAAAATTGTACAAGTAATATCTTGTTTGCGTACAATTTTAACTATGCATACGTTAAAAGTAGCAAATGACAAGCCCGAAAAATGAGAACAACTTCAATTTTTTTTTAATTTAAAAAAAAAAAGTCGGCTTGTGTAAGACTCGGCTTAGCCCATGAGGCTCACAAGCCAAAGGTTGAACCGATCAGGTTTTTTGATACGAGATGAGCTCGTGTATTTAAGAGTCAAGCCAGCTTGGTTCGATCCATTACCAATTAACATCATTACAAGTGGAAAAATTGTTATATCACTATCATTAGAAGCGTTTAAAAGTCGAGCCCGCTCACTGACTTAAATTATTACCATCATTAGAAGTGGAAAAATTGTACCAACGCTACCAATTATTTTCGAAACAACAAAAAATGGCTGAAAATCAACCATTTATATTTCTTATTCTTTCTCTGTTTACATATATACGTCTCTCTGTCTATTTGTTATATCAACAAGTTTTGACTATGACTGCAATGAAATATTAGAAATTAGAAACTTCACATAAACGATCCTTTTAAGTGTATAAATGGATAAATGTTACAAGTATCTATATATTAAATTAGTCAGAGTTGAATACAATTGCACGTTATTCTGAAATAATTTATAAGTGTTGTAAAAATAATATTTAATACCAATTTATTAGAAGGATGTGATAAGTCTCAAACGAACTAAAATAAAATAAAATAAAATTTAGGATATAAATTTAAGAGAAGAAAATTGTACTCTTAAAACTCAAACTTCTATGATTTAAATTTTTTGTGATGATGAAATATGACAAATGAACAATATTTTATACTACATTTGGTACATAGGAATTAATTGTTAATACATAAATTTAAACACCTATTAAAATTCCTAAGTTCGTGAATAGAAATAAATTCATCTATAATAACTATATATTCATGTAAATCAAGATTATTAAGTTTAGATTAAGGTGAATATTAATTAAGTGAAAATTAATAACACGAAATTCGTGTATGACAAAGATTTTATAATATTTATTACATATTGAAAATTGAAAAATAAGGTATTATTGAAATAATTACATTTTAGTAGGGTTAAAATCATCAAAAAAATAATTCTCGCTTGATTTGATATTTAATATATTGTAGATAGGCATACACTTAATAGCAACAATGTTTGGAAACCATCTAAAATGACCTTTTTTGCACACAAAATCAATAGGTTGAATGGGTCAGTGCCAAGAAAAAAAGGTTAGGGACCATATAAGTACAAAGGTCATAACATCAGGGACCTCTTGTGCCAATTTCCCTATTTTGAAGGAGAAACCTTACATAAACAAATTAACCATCTTTGACGTTCACTGTGCTATCTGACTATGCCATGTTTGATAATCATTATTAAAAAAATCATTTTTATATATACTAATTTTCAACTACATATTCATACGATAATATATTTTGCACGTAAATCCAAAAAATTTTCTTACTTTCAAACCACACATTTTCCTAAAAATTATTATTCAAAACTTTTTTTTTTTTTTAAATAATGGTTGTCAATCAGTGGCTATGTTCTTAGCCAAAATGTTAAGAATTTGTCAGAAGGGTGAGGCTGGAATAGCAAGAACTCAATGAAGAACTCGGGTACAAAAAACTCGATAGTTCACCGGATTCTGCAATTCACACCAAGTATGCATTTTGCTGCATTCTTCATCGATGTGAGAGGCAAGATATCCGCTAATGAGAGTCGTTTTAAATTCGACACGCGCCCAATCCCCGGGTGCACCGTGCACGCCACGAAGTGACCAGGATATATCAGAAATTCTATGAGTTTGATGCACAAGTAGCTTTCTTCACCAAGAATAAGCACCATTAACCAGCAGAATAGAAGCTCTTATTTATTTATATCATGTTAACAAGATCTCTGCTTTAGTACATTCAGAAGAAAATTTGACGACCTCTTTCTGTTTTGTATAAAGCTATGTACAACAAAAACCACTTACTGGCAAACCATAAACGAAATAACACATAGAACTACTAATTCTGTTCGAAAACAGATTTCTTAAGAAGTCTCCAAGGGGTAAGATATTAGCAGTCCTTAAACTTCATCAATTGAGCCCATCATTGCTGTCAGCTAATGTGAACTGCACAGACTTGCTAGATGGACGAAAACAGGATGTAGTGTTTCAGCATCCTCTCCTCATTTGATGTAAGTTCCCGTATGTACATTCTGCCCCTGTAGAACAACTAACACAAACATAGTCTCGTTAAGCACTCTCGCGGAAGTTAAGTGACCGGGACAAAGCTGCTGGATTAGCTTGTAACACCAAAGAATTACTGTCAATGTTGCTATTCTGGTCCCCCTTTGCAGGAAGTGTCCTAAAGATGCGTACTGCTGAATCAATGTTCTCATTCTTGATTCCAAGTGATGACCATATAGAGCTCTTTGAGGCAACATTTGGATCATCAAACCTTAATGTCTTAGGAACCAACACACATCTCTCTGCACTTTTTTTCTCGAAAATATCTCCTGTCTCCATGTTTGGTGATCTAAGTATGTTCCCATCCCTAGAATGTTTACCGAGTGTAGAAGGAGCAGGATTGATACTTAGGAAAGAACTATCAGACATAGGCGGATGGGATAGAAATGGCAAACTCCAACCGTTTGGTACGGTACAGCCCCAATTGGGCGTTGTTGGATACAAAGACACAGGAATTCCAGAAGATCTACTCGAGTGATCCTTACCTATTTCTCTTCTCCCTTGGTGGACGGGATTTCTGTTTTCTCGTCCATAAAATCCATTTCCAACACAATTTTGTGATCTCTCAGCAAGATCCATGGCAGAAGCCATGGATTCACCAAGGGGATTCTCTGAACCAAACATAAGGACAGTGCTATTAGGTTTCAAAGAAGGAAAGTGCATCCCGGTTATAGCAATAGCTTGGGCTGCTTGGAGGGTATCTGGAACGATTATGTGACCATAATTTGTAGCAGAAGCATTTTTATTCTTGCGTCGACCTGAACCAACGGGCACGTTTCTCATTGTTCCCCCAGCTGTCCAATATCTCTGACATATTTTACAGAAATGCCGGGGTTGATTGACATTGTAATTGTTGAAGTAGCAAAACTTCGTGTCCATGCTCTTACACCTAGGACATGGAAGTATTTTGTCAGGCTTCTTCAGCGTCTTTTCTTGAGAGACACCACTCTCACTTGGTTCCTCCGTGCTACGAGTTTTCAGAGACAACGAGTCTTTGTCCACAGTCTCGGGGTCATTAGTGATCTCTGATGATGTTGCTGGCTCTATTGGCGTTTCTGCAGCTGGTTTGGAGGCAGCATCTTCATCTTTTGTCCCGGTTAATTCTCCTTCTGAATCACTCTGATAAAATGAAGAAATTTAACATGAGATACATAACGTTATACAGATATGGACAGTAATTACATAGATACATGATCTTCAGAGAATCCTCCCATCTTAGTTTATTACGGTATGCTTGAATGATGTACACAGTTGTTGCATGATAGAATTCAGCACATAAAAACAAGATTATGAACATGTAACTATAATTTCGAACTTTCACTTTTTACGTCAAAGATTGTCATCAGCTTCAAGAGTTCCAAAAATTCAAATTCTAGCAGTTAATCTAAAAGTTCTCTAATAACCCTGCACCCCAATAAATTAAGAAATAAACTAAAAATGCTCCGACTTCATAACACCCTCTAGGCATGTTCGATAAGGAGGCTAGACATCATTGGACATATTACTAAAGAAGAAAAACATTATAACTTCCCCCCCTTGTCCTGCATACTAAACAAGCACCCGCTGTCTTAAAGTTTCAGAAAAGAAGAGTCCAACAATCAAGAACACGAACCGAAAAGAATTTTTTTCTTCTTTGCAATCCAAAAACCTTGTAATTGAGAGATCAATTTTTGACTAGAAAATCCCAAAAAGAAAAAGAAAAAGAAACAGGGATTTATAAACAAGGGACTTCCAAACTCTGACCAATAGTAATTGTCTATGATTCATTTCTAGTTCTTAAAACTTCAGACAATAAATCCCAGAATTATATCAGCGTCTAAACGCCATATCTCAGAATTCAATCATTAAGCACAAATCATAAAATTTTAAAATTTTCTCAGAAAGTGAAAGAAACCCTTTATAACTTTACAACTTCAAACACAAGGAATTAAGGATTGCTCATAGAATTGCCAATATGTATCGGTAAAGATTATAAACTCAACGTACAAACACAGAGACATATGTTTGTTCTGCAAACCTTAATATTTTGACTTGAAGTTGATGCTATTGAGGAACTTAAGCTTCGCTGATGTTGAAGATGACATGTTGAGGCAAGACCTTTATCATGTGGAACTGATATAGTCTTCCCAAACAGCTTAATTGCAGAGTCTTTTATCACTTCTGACATTTTTCCCTCTCTCTCTGAATCTATCTATCTAAAAGGTAAGTCCTTTTGCAGACAGCAGTTCACTTTCTCTTTCTTCTATGTTGGGAAATTGAAGGATTTTTTATTTCGTTTAGGTTTTGATTCATTTTGTTGATTTGGTCGAGTGTTACAGGGGAAGAGAGAGAAAGGGTGGGGTGACACGTAAGCAGAGAGAGATGGATTCACAGCCACAAGTTTGTTTGTGGCCTTTGTACAATCCTTCTTCGGGATATTTGATGATCTGTTTAATGGTTTTTTTGATTCTTCCAACCCAAGTCCTAAAAGGTGTCTGCTTTCGATTTTTTACTTTCTTTTTGATGAATTCACAGCCACTAGTTTCCATCATAAGTTAATCCTCAACTTTTATAATATAGCAAGTTGGTCATCATTACTTTATTATAATTATCCATACAAGTTCATACTTTATGGAATTAGATTTTTTGCTTTAAATTTTAGGTGGGTATTAGAAAATTTGAAATTACGATTTGCATTTGTTAGAGAGAGATACAACAATTCTAACAAAGAGTTTGGATCATTCTAGAAGCGGCTCAAACAAATTGAAGGCCTTTTATTTAATAATAATAATAATAAATTATTATTATTATTATTATTATTATTATTATTATTATTATTATTATTATTATTATTATTATTATATTTAATGGAGCAAATAATGGCCAACGAAAGCGCCCCGTAAGTGAATCACCGATTAAGAAATCAATGTCTATAATTTAGATGAAATCATTGATTGTTGCACAATCGCTTATTAATAATGTACATTTATGAATTATTATCGACGGAAACATCATTGCGACGTTAGCAATATCTTACAACGTTTCAATTGTTGATTGCTGAGATGAAGTCGTCAGTTTCATCAACAAAATTTTATTCTTTTTATGTTTTTTAATCTTATTGGCCTAATAATTTAAAATATCTTTTTTTCTTTTCTTTATAGTATTTTTGATAGATAATTTATTTTAATTTTCACATTTTTATGAATTTATTTATTGATGAAGCTTTGTGCATTTTATGTCGATTTCAGTCAAATATGCTAAAATTTCTCTCCAAAGGAACTTAAATTCCATTCATGGCATTGGTGTCTCAAACCTAATTAATTATTATTAGGTATATTGTAGCCTCTAAATGCACGTTTCAATTGTTGATTGCTGCTTTCAATGTCATCTATTGTTTAGATTACTCCTACACGTAAAAAAAAATATAATTATAATTTTATTAATTGTCCTTACCAAAAATTCACCAACAAACTGTATGATTTTGTATTTGCTCGATCAAGATTCTTTACAGATTTATTACTTATTGATTTATTTGTGTTTAATAAAAAAAACACAACTGAATACGTGACACACATAATACCACATGAGAGGAGATGCAACTCTGCCAGCACCCCCTTCTTGACCATCATTATTTAAACCTTTTTTTTTTACATAGGGGTTGTTTGAGCTTTATTTTTATTTATTTTTTCAAAAAATGAATTTTACAATCTTCTTATGATGGAGAATTTATGGTTAAAAAATTAAAAAAAAATTGAGTTTGAGTTAATATTATTTTATTGAAAAATGTGTGGTTAAAATAGAGTCAAATCACTGTTCAAAAAGTATTTTGATAGAAAAGTTAAACCTTGCGCGAGCGCTACGTCAGCAGAAATAGGACCCACCTGCAAAAGTGAATCAAAAAGGTTGAGTTCACTGTCCAATTCAGTCCATTAATATCCAGCTCATATCCGTCCGACACGTGTCCCACGGCTTAAATGTATGGGACCCACACAAAAGAATCAACTTTTAGTGGCTTCCATTTGACGATCCAAACAAGGATTGTTTGTCAAAGACATCCACGTGTATAAATATTTGGTTGGAGATAAGACGAGGACCATTAGATCTTTTTCAGTTATCCTGGAAATTCTTTTCATTTTCACATTTATTTTGCTCATTAAGATGGTTGACTATACTCCATTTTCTTCTTATTAATGCGTTTGACACCCATTTGGGAGGAAAAATAAATTCTGAAATATTGATTGATGGAGGAATGTGTAGTTAAAAAGTAATGAGAATCGATAGAATGTGTGATTGAAATAAAAAAAATGAAAAAAAATGAAAAAGAGAATAAGAAGAATATGAGTGTCAAACTGATCAAAATTTACATAATAGATTATGAGCCTGTTTGGAAGGGATTTTTGGGGGAAGAATTGATTTTGAATAGTGATATGATGGGAAATGTGTGGTTGAAAAAGAAGAAAAAATTATTGATGTGATGGAAAATATTATTTTATTGAAGAATGTGTGGTTGAAAATCAGAATTGATTTGAGAATCAGAAACAAACAGAGCCTATATAATATCACATTATATCCATTTGTTAATTTAAAATATAATCAATTTTTTCATCTGGTTTTTTCCCTCCATATCATTTTCGGTAGAATGATGCACTCAAACGGGGTTTAATGTGGGTAATTTTTTTTTTCTTTTCAAATTATCCAATCATGTTGTGCCACGTGTCTCCCTATTTTTTAAATCCGTCATTGAGTCTGTTTTTATGGCATGATTGTTTTCGATAACCGTTTATATACAATTAGCAAAATTCAATAATCCTTCTCATTACATCCTCAGTAGATTTTTTTTATTAATTTTATTATTTCCATATTAGAGAGTCAAACCTCTTTTTACGGTGATCAATGTACTTTTCATCTTTAAAAATTAAAATAAAGAGTATATTTAACTCTCACTTAATATTGGACAATTTTTAACTTATTTCCTTCATTTCTACAAAATCAAAAGATCCGAAGTCCTAAAGAAAGATATTTTTCTTAAAAATGAAGTTTACCAACAATGCAATACTTTTCTAGAAGAAGTACCAATTTTTAATCGATGTTTCAAAAGAATATTTATACGCTTATTTTAATATTGCTCCCGACGAAGTGCTTTTAGATGTTAAAATCTGATGAAAGAAAACATATTTGATGATGTAGATTCACATCTTTATTTTGAATAATGCTATTCATCTTCACTGGAGTTGAGTCCCAATCTATGTGGCAATTACATGATATTAAATGATAAACTCAATTAAATGAGTAATGTGAATTTGTATTTAAATGGATCTATCATTTAATGCCATGTAATTGTTACATAAACTGTCTGGGGCTCAACCTCAGTGGATCTATCATTTAATGTAATGTAATTGTTACATAGATTGGGACTCAATTTCAATGAGAATGAATAGCATTACTCCTTTATTTTATACGTTATTGTTGTGAAACTTCCAATAGAAAATGAAGAAACTGAACCCAAAGCATTATAGTTGAAACTTTTTGCACTTTTAATAACAAGGTTTCACCTTTTGGAGAAGATCTTACTGCATTTTGGTTAAGAATAGTGCACATAACTTAGAGCAATAGATTGAGTATCACTTTCCCAATCCATATTTTGCTTCTGAATGTCACACATTAAGGATCGCAAAACATTTGTATTAGTCAAAGAATGAGAAAAAAATGGATAACTAAAAGATATTGGACCTTTATCAAGGTTTGATTTGAGAATTGATAGAATAGAATTTCTTGTCTCTAAGGAGAAGTAGGATAGAAGTGTCTAACTTTGTATCTTTTGGTAATGGAAATGAAAAATATTCCTCCATGCCATGAGATAAAGGTCTTTCTAGGATCAATAAAATGATATTCCCCTCCCATTCGATTATAGCAAAAGCACGTGCTAGTATTTTTATTTCTCATCTCGTTGAAAACTCTCTTTGCTCGGTTTAACCTCATCACCTCTATGAGGATTTTAGTGATGGTTGTATATGAATTGGGACGATGCTATTTGATCAAATGCCAAGCGATAATTTTTTTGATTGTCATCTATTTTTCTTCTTAGTGCATATTTGGTAGGTGATTAAAATAAAACTTAAGTGATTATAAGTTATATGTCGGTGTAAATAATAAGTGCGTAGTAGTTGTGAATCCTACAAAATATGTAATAAAAAATTTGTTTTACAACTGGTGAATAAACATGCACTAAGCGTAGGTTGGATTTTTAGGTCACCATCAATAAGTAGTGGTCTATTGACGAAGAATTGATATGAAAATGGGAGGGGACATCGACGTGACCATTGGAGTTACAACTAGGGGAGCAGAATATGTAAAAACATATAAAGGAGATAATGTCTCAAGTATACAAACTGCCTCCATATCTATATTATGCCATGTTTGAGCCCAATTTTTTTTTTTTTTTTTTTATCAAAACTCCTTTTTTCTTTTTTCGAAATTCATCTTCAATACACAATCTTCCATGAAATAATTTTACATGTAAATCCAAAACTTTACTCTACTTTTAGCCACGCATTCTCATAAAATTACTATTGCAAAATTCATTTTTTCTTAAAAAATGGGGTTCAGGCTAAATATCGTAGCACAATTTTTTTTTTTTTTTTTGAGACGCATATAAGCTAATTAACTCGTCCATCCTAAGAAATCCCTTAAGTCTCCCAAGATCTTCATTCAATTGGATGATTCTGATAGTTTTCTCCCGAGAACCTTGATAAGCCAAACAGTCAGAGCCTTTAGCACATAATTCTTTATACCTTTAACCTTGTATTGAATGAGCCAAGATCCTAACCCCTCACTATGGGATAATGCTTGCATCTAGCATCCTCTTAGTCTATTCACAAGGATTTCATCTTCCTTAACAGCTACGACACCAGAATATCCAACAATGAACAGTGAAAGGCATGAGAGTTTTCAATGAATCTTGCCCTTTGACTGCAACTTGAGCAATTCCATTTATTAATCGTATGTTACAAGTATATGAACAAGACCATGTACGAGGTAAGGGACTCGTTCTATGAAACACACATTATTTACTTTATGCACACAATTATCTTATGCGTATTGCTGAGATGACTTGATTGTTGGAGGGCCTCCGTTGGGCAACCCCAGTGCCGCCTTAGATAGTATTCTTTTACACATCAGTGGCTCAGG